CCAGGTTAAGCAAAATCAGGCACAGCAGTGCAAAGATCTTCTAGAGGAACATGTTTCAGCTCTGCTCACAATTGTTAGTCCCAGCTGAAAACGAAGGCATCTGTCATCCAAGCAACAGAGTCGAAGACAGCCAGCTACCTCCAGTTCTTGTTCCTTACTGGCCATGGAGACAAGAGGATTTAGCTACAGTTCCCACAAGGAGCAGGTTGGATCACTGCATGCTCTGACCTTTGGATGTGTCAAAGAAAGATGCATGCTCAGCTGTGTTGGCCATGGTTTGACTGCTGCAGGGAACATCACAGGTTCCAAGTTTTATTAATGAGGAAAACAATATGTACGTCAATGTTTGCTACATGAAGTTAACATGAAAACAAAGCCCACTCCAGACAACAAATGAAATTTACTGGATTAGCTTGTTGTTCCAGCTGTCCTGATAAATAGCATTGAACTCAACACCACATTGATTAGTTCGTTCAAGACAAACACTGATCGGATTGCCTTGGCAAGTATATATAGCACTACAAAAGCACAATCATCCATGTCTATTCAGAGTAGCAAGGATTCACTATACTTTCATTTCCCTTCCCTCTATCTTTCCCAGCCTAGACAGCATGTCTGCACAATTTAAATGCCCCACGTTAAACGCTTCCCCCTCCTTCTTCTCTTGCATTTTGCTAATAGACACACTCAAGCCCCTGTTCTAGAGAAACAGAACCAAACCGTGCAACTGCCTCAGAAGCTGCCCACATTTCAGTGCAAGCTGACCCAGGTCATGATTTTCTCCTAAGTGTTCAGTAGGGTTTTTCCTTTATCTCATCTGCTACCTCAAACATGTAACCTAGTGTAACAGTCAGGTCTGCATGAGAAGCCATTTTGGAGAAAGTCTGTAATAAACAGTCTCTCACGTTAAAGAGAGAATGGGTGGGGAATCACAGAAGACAGATGGGGGATCCTGGTAAGAGTCAGAAAGGTTAAAAACCACAGTACTCGATCAGTGCTATGTGTCTGTCTTCCTCACTTTCTTTCTGATAATCTCAAAAGATACATCACTTTACTCTGTGCTTTTACACCAAACACAACTCCTTAGCAACTTTGTTTAGAAGTAGTTTTGTCTCCTTTAGGCTTTGTCCTTTTTCTTTTTAAACAAGGTATTTTTGCAGAGCCACAAATTCTGTGAGATCTTCAGAAAGTTCCAATTCCAGTGATTCTCCCAAGGCCACTTTCCCTCCTTGGATCTATCTTTTGTTTGAGCTAAATTATTGTTACCAGAAGAGAAATCTGCCCTAATAACTCATTCCTTACCCAATTACTCAGCTTTGTTTTCCTTCCTTCTCCGGTATTACGATTACATCACCAAAAATAAATAGATCAACCTAAGATATTCAGAAAGACTTTTTTTTAAAAATCTGATCAATAGCTTTACAAACATCTTTCTTGTTCTACCAGGGGACCTATGTTTTCTGACAGACACCACCACCATGTTGGTCTGCCAGAACTGCCACTTCACAGAGCAGCAGGAAAGTCATCGCCGTGCCGCGTACCTTCTCTTCATACCACACTGACCACATCCTTCCAAAACTGACGTGCATCTAAAATGTTCACAGGCAACAGTTAATCCTGCTATATCATGTTTTCTTTTAGCAAATGATGGGGTGTTGCTTACGAATCTGTTTTTTGGTAGGCGTGTTAAAGGACTAAAAAGCATTGTTTTAGTTACGCCTTGCAGCAGATGAGAAGCAGAATACTGGTTTCTTGTTTAAATGCAAGCTATGACTCATCCTGGGCAGAGATAAACTGAAACACATACCCATTAAATAAAAAACACAAACAATTTGCCAGCATGAGGATTAATGACAGATAATAACTATAAATTAACTTTAATCTTTTATAAATCAAACAAAGCCCCTTATATAAATGTCACTGCAATCTTTTCAGATAAAAAAAACAAATCAAAGCAGAAAGAGAAGTCACTTTAATATTACAGTTAATATTTGGTACCAAATCAAACAGCTCCTTAGCAGAACCACTGGAGCGTTCATGAAATATTTCAAGACTAAGAAAAGGAGTGGGGCTTAAAACATCACTTAAACTTTAAAAATATATTTTTAGTTACTTTTCGACAAAGGGGCACAAGATTCTTAATCCTGATACATTGAAACATCATCAGCTCTGCAATACTGAGTCCAAGTTAAATCGCATATTTAAAAAGGAAGAGGAGAGCTCTGTGGTTTTCTACTGTTCTCTTGCTACTGCTTGAAAGAAACTCTCTGTAATTGTTGAATGGGTTAAAACAAAATTTAACTGAACATAAGAAGGCTGCTGTTCGTAGACAAGAAGGGAAAAACCAGAGTCAGAGACCTAATAGTGGACAATTTTGAAAATTATAGTGTGTGTCAATAATGGAGACAACAGTGAGATTCAAAAGGAATAATCGCAAATAATAGGGAAAATGAGCACCTGCCAGCCACAAAGCCATTAGTATCAGGGCTTTTATCTTTGCAACAGTTAAGTCTGGAGACACTGACAAACTTAATGACACAGCAAATAAAACATGGTGAAAATCTGACTGGGAAGCAATCCTCTTCACTCAGAAAACACTGCTGTGGAGTTTGAAAATAAATGCTTCCAGTATGAAACTCACTGTCCAAATTGTTGGTAACAAACACTGCAAACCCAGCAGAGCCACCGCAGGGTCTATCTGGGTCTGCAGATGTGCGCAGCTGATCAGGCCACGGTGTCTGCACTAAGGGACAGACCAACCCAAACCAGAAACAGCGGGCTCCTGACCACAGATCCCAGGTACAGGAGTTGGCCTGTACAGACCACCCAATGTGATCAAACGCGTGTCCTTCCCAGAAAGATAAAAACCAAGGGCTTGTAAAACCGTGCCTGAGATACAGAGCTGGAATAGAGTGCCTCAGGAATGGGAAGCCCTGGAGAAAAGACCTTGCTGAGAAGGCTGATGGTTAGGAGGCTTCAACCCAGAACAGGTGGGGACTAGGGAGTATAACTGAGACAGAAGGAGAGGAAGAGAGAGACATGATACTGCACCAACTGGGACTGGGAAGACAAATTCTGTAGCAAGCAAACAGCTCGTGAACATTCTGAAAAAGGCAGCATAATGGGAAGAACAGCTAATACTACTCCTCTCACTAGTAACAATACAACAAATTGCTAGACAGGAGTCAATCTTCACGATATCCCCACCCCAGATACTATTACTGTCCTCAGTTAAAGACGGGGAATCCAGGCAGAAACTTCCTCAACTCACACAGTTGGCATCAGGCATATCCTAAACTCATCAATACTTGCCAGCCCTTAGCTGGACAATAAGTATGTAAAGCTAGCTGCCGAGATCTCACCCACAGAGTTTGAAGTTTCACTGCCTGCCCCACAAGCCTGAGGGTAGAAAAAGGTAGTCACAGATCCACGCAAGCTTGGCCAGCGTGAGAAGACCACGTTGGTACAGGGAAAGATGGAGACAGCTCTGCTTTAAAGCTGTACTGAGGGCAAGCAGCATTTTCAGTAACAATTAGATATGCAAATAAGCACATTGAAAATTAGTGACGGTTTTACTGTTGTCATGGAGAAAAAAGCACCCTCCATTCTGGGTCAGACGCAAGCACTGCATTTTCTTTCCCTTACTGGTAATTAAAACTGCAGAGAGCACTGGAAAACCCAGGAGCCAACACTTCTTAACACAGCTCAATCTGGGACTGGAAAGGTTGAGGCTCGGGAGGGACAGGAGAGCAACATAACCCAAATAAAAAAACCTCTCTGCATCACCCCAGAGAGACAGGGCCATGACAACTCTGTAGATCCTCAAAGCTACCAGGAGGTAGAAGCACAGCCTGGAAGAAAACACCCACAGCACGCAAAGGCCAAGCTGCTTCCCAGCACTGCTGCTGCCACGGAAGGCAGATGTGAGGGAAACCGAGGGCAACGTGATGCGCAAGGTACTCAGCTCTGATTCTGTTGAAGCTACTTGGGAAGATCTTGTCTGAATGGAAACACACACTTGGCTTGAAGCCTCTGTGTATCTTCAGCAATCCTTCTAGTGCCCCAATCCCTTGTTAAGTGATGGCTGCTAAGAGGGAAGAGGAGGTAATCAACCTATTTAGATTCAGCTTTCCCACCCTGGGGGTTTCTTCATAGAAGCAGCTGGACAGAGCACTGCCTTTGTTCCAGCAGCCACAAAACCCACAGACAGCCCCCCTCAGCCCTCCTAAAATCCCACAGAAGAGCCAAGATAAGTTTATAATGGAAACCCTGACACAACCTTAACTATAGCATCCTGAATGGAAGGCGATAATCTGATCTGTGTGTGAACTAGCTCCCCTTGTCTCAGTGGTATTTATCTTACTTTAACTCCTGTTACAAAAGGGTTGAGTCATACAGCAGAGCTAGCCAAGTAACAAAACTGCAAGGCTTGCTAAAACTTCAGATTCAAGGATAAACAGGCGCAATCCTAAAACAGGTTAGAAGAGAGAGTCTCCACAGGAACGCTGGTAGCCAGACCTCTGAGCCTCTCTGGACAATGGCATTTTCTTCTGCACTGCAGAGATTACCACAGCCCAGCAGAGGGGTGGGAGGGAGAGGGTGTAGAGCACAGGGCTCTGCCCTTCGTTTCATGGTAACACATACTACCCAGGGCCCAAGAAACCTGATCCCGTAGCAACCTCATGTATGGAAAGTGCCCCAATCAGATTTCACTGTGTCAGGAGAAGAACAGTATTTACTCTGCATACAGATTAGTCACAAAACTGGGTCACTTCTTGCCTTTTCAGAGAGAGGGGAAAAAAAACAGCCAAAAACAAGGCTTCTTTTTCAGATCTTTTTCTGTCTCCCCCCCCCGCCCCCCCGACTTTTAAAACTACCCGATGCAGTGTGGTCATTCACAGCTGTCTAAGCTGATCAAACGACACCTGCATGTGTAAGGTTAAAGCACATTACACTCACCAGGCTTGCATTTCTTAGAATTCAGCTCATTAGCTACTTACCGGTTCTTTTCTAGTTCATTGTGCGTAGACCTGGAAGATAAACAAAAATTTGGATTAGCCACCTTTGACCTCTCAGCACCAAAGTTCAATTCCTGCAAGCTGTAGACATCCCCAGCAGCATATCACAGCGTAAAGCCAACCAAATACATACATTAAACTCTATAGCTACAACCTCCACCTCCCTGCTGACAAGAGATTCCTCCCCTCCTAAGTCTGTATTTACCTCCTACGTGCAAGGCTGGTACTCTTACTGGTGCTGCAGAAAATACTCCCTAGAGACTTAAACACACACAAAATCCCAAAGAGAGGCAGTGATTAGAACAGGGGACCAGAGTCAGCCATTTCCAGAGTACTGGTTCTGCCACCAACTCAGTACAGGACTGCAGTTATGTTTCTTTGTGCTTTAGTTTCTCCATCCACCTTGTAAAAATATTGGTATCATCTGCTAACAGAGGAGCTCATGGAGTATTAATTTACGCACATCAAATACATGGGAACCTTCCAGCAGAATTGGTTCTGTAAGGACAAACCCTGGAGCCCTTCAGCAGCCACATGCTAGATTTAGCAAACTTAGTAGAACTCCAGATACAGCCAGCATTTGGGCACGAAACAGGATGGCCCGTACTGCCATGTTTGCAAACATCAGTGGCACTGAGTAGCACTTTTAGGATGCCTGGAAACCCCTCGGGGACTGAAACGGCACTGCCACAGCACTAGCTTGCAGTGAAGCCAGTGACCCATAATGTGGCAGTGTGACCACTTGACAAAAGAGGGGGCTTCGTCTTTATACCTGCCTGCCACACCAAGCATGCTGCCAGCACTCCCTAATTTACGACTCGCAGCTTGAGAATGAGACCAACTAGAAACAAAAGGGAAACAGGCAAGTTCATTCTCCTTGTCTCCATGATGACAGCACGAGTGGCAAAAAGAGCTTAAATCCTTTCAGCATTTTTAATCTAACAATGTTATTAGCAACCCAGGTAAGGTTGTTGAGGATTATTTAAAAAGGATAGCCATTTATCCAACATTTCTCTTTAACAGAAGGTCACCTTAAAATAAGAGTAAAAGGAGCCCAAGAGCTTAATAAAAAGGATCTATTTTCTGTAATTTGGCATCACATTTCTTCCGGAGCTCTGAGAAGATTATCCTCTATCCCCCATCTGGAGAATCCCACAGAGAATTCTACAATTAGGGAACTGAATGGAGGATGTGCTCCAAGGGAAACCCTGTCATAATTAAATGCTTCTCCAAAAAAAGGGAGGAGGAGTGCTTAACAGGTGTTAGAGCGTCATTGAAGATGACGAATAAACCACAGACGTCTGCAAAAAACAAGGTAAATGAGTCTTAGCTAGCTGTGGCTGAGAGCTGCGGGTGGCCAGAGGAAAAACAAAACTTTACCGTATGTCTGTGCAAGGTACCCTGCACAGCCGGGTTTGGGATACCCTAAAGGCAAGACACACTATAGCCAAACTCCTAAAGCAGAGGAAACTCCCAAAGCAAATCCTTCCCCGCTGAAAAGTGAGGATTCCTAAAGTCCCAGGAATCAGAGAGACGAACGTAGTATTTAGTCCAGAAAATCTCCCAGATCAAACGCCCACACCACCCCCCCTGGAGCCTAAACCAGCAAAATCCATTTGTCCGGGCAACTTGGATACAAATTAACCCACCAGGCCTGAGCTGAGGCCCTTTAAAACCGCTGCCTGTATGTTCTTCGGTACATGCTTATTGTTCTTATTTACTGTATGTTCCTGCAGGAGACTCTGCACTCCTCGGCTATGATATTAGCAGTTATAAAGCCAGAGATATGCAATGGCTGGAATTCCTACATTATATCGAGCCAATTATCCAGGCCAGCACTGAAAGAACAAAGTTTGGCCCACTGCTGTGGACAAAATTAAAACAGCAGGTTCTCCCTAGTCCTCTCACACAGGAGACTATTACCTATCTGCCTTCTGATGAACAAGACAGCAGAGAGGGGTCACAGGCTTTTCACCAAGTCAGGAAATTTATGCTGTGACTTTTAAACATATCAGTGGCAAGGAAAAAACCGACCTCTCCCCACCCCCAACACTTTCCCACTGAAGCTGAACGCAAGGGAAAGAATCTCAGCAATGCTGAATGAATCTTATGGGGATGTTACTTCTCTTATCTGCCTATGCTTTGCTTAGTCTTATCGGGGACATTTGGAAAAGTTTTAAGTTTTCCTTTCACCTAAATTTAGGGAAAAAAAACCCCAGCACCCCACTACCACCATTCACTAACTCTTATTTTCTGTACCAGTTTCCCTTTGCTCGGACAAAAACCTGTCTCCTGTTCGTAATTCATTTCATTTTCTGTAGCTTCTGATCTAGAGATTAATTTTCTCCCCTTGTCTTTGGACTGCACACATTACTAAGATTTATTTGGAGTTAAGCAAGGACAGTGCTGCCAGTGAAGTGGAAAAAAGTACAGGAACCTCTATTGATGCTACATTCAGAAAAAAAAAAGTCTTTTAAATAGGTACAGAAACAAATGTAACTGGACCCCTTTAACCAAGATGGTCTTATCAGCTGAGAACCTGGAGAGTATCACCAGACCAAAATGAAGGCTCCATCCTTGCACGTCATCGCCAGCTTTTTGATGGGTAGAATATGAACACCGCAGCTGTAAGCGACCGCAGCACTCGGGGAACGTTTCAGGATTACTTGTAACACTCTGCATTTACAACAGCAAGGAACTGGTGCATTCAGCTTGATGCTGCTTTGCTGCTGTTGACAGTCAGTCACAGCCTGTGCCACCCAGTGAAATAAGGACACCGTGTTGAGCATGGACTGCAAACCAGAGGAGCTCACATCCCCGCTGTCAGGCGGACAGGGCAGGCAGGACCTTGCCCCCACCTACGGAGCTGAAACCACAGCCACGCGGGTACGGACATGTTCAGAGAGCAAAACACAAGCCCAAGCACACCTACCGGCACTGCTCAAAACCTCAGCTGCAATTTAAAAGTAGCTCAAGCACTACGTCCGCAGGGTTCTCATTTAAATAAGGCAGGTTTCTATAGCAGTCAGCTCCTTAACAAATTTTAAATATCCAAACTGATAACTACCCCTAAAACTGAAGGAATGTTACATAAGGAGGAGGATCCTGCCGGCTACATTTTAAAAGCAGCTTGGGAAAAGATCAAGAAAGAGTTTTAGAAGCTTAACAGAAAGGAGCCAACCAAACAACAACAAAAACCAGCAGAGCAGTCTCCATCATGATTTTAAACAATAAAAAGCTGGAAGAGGAGAAACTGAAGTTTATCCCTCTTCACCCCAGACAGCTGAAACCGCACACAGAACAGGAAGAAACAGGGAAGCAGCAATTGCCAGTCACTCTAATTTAAGGTCAGGTGCAACAACCTTTTTGAGCCAGTTACTGTGATTCTGCCTGCAACCTTGTTATCCAACACTGTAACAAGGTGCTGCTGAAACATTAAGCTACACTGAATTCCCCCAGTGAAGAACAGATTGCAAATAATGTATTACTTTACCCCATTCTCTTTAAATAAAGAAAATCCCTCCTTACTACGGTAGAGGCAGCCAAACTTTCCCCAAGCACAGGTAAGCCAACAAAACAAACTGTGTCAGGGAGAACAAGCTCCAAAGAGCAGTGAATTCATTTGTCATTGGGTTTTTTACTGTAATTAAAATCACAAAGCTGCCACATGACATTAAGCACAGCTGACCTTTCAGGTTTACACATTTAATATTGATAAATAGCCCAACAAATGCATTTGCAGCATAGCTGCATTTTGGTTTGACTTCTTAGTGAGGTAACCATTTTCTACTGGGAAAACAGCAATAGAGAGCCTTTGTCCTGTGCGACACACAGGTGGCACTTAGACCCGATGACCCTGTCATCTCCTTGTACCCAGTCACCCTTCTGTCTGTATCTGGGATGAGCTCCTGGCTCCAGTGAAGCCCAGGGCTCCAAGAGCTCCATCTCCATCACAACAGAGATACCAGTGGCTCAGGAGGTGCTGCTGGCCATCCGTGCCGCCAGGTAAGGGGGTGGGGTGGAATAAAAATCATCTCTTCAAATACACGTCCTTAATATCAACACAGAGCCAGTGCTTCTCCTCCAATTCGCTCACCCCACTCTGCTTTAGCAAGAGAATAATCAGAAAAGAAATACTCCAGCTGCTTGTGTGAACTAAGGCACAGTCACCTGAATCACATTTAGCAAAACAGCAAGAACATCCCTCCACAGACCAGGCCAATCATTTTGTGTCTTACTTCACTCTGCCCAGGTTCAGCCACCTCTGCTGCTTATGCATCATCACACCAAGTACAGCCTCATTCTTCTTCATTTTACAGACCTTTCCCACCTTCTGGCTCTGTTGACACCCAGTCACTTGGCCACCAAATTCCCCTGCAGGAAATGCCTTCTTCCATTCCCCACGCCAAGATCAACCACCCTTCTGGAACCAGTGAACTATATTACCGCCTTCTCTTTTATACAAGTTCTTCCTCAGAAATTACTCCTATTGGAAACAGCCAAACAGCAAAACAAAACAAACAAAAAAGAAGGGTGATCAACAACTTTTTCAATTTTAAATCCACCTGTGTCCACAAAACAAAACTCACTGGCTGAAGAACCCCAGTGTTTTGTCAGGGTTTCAAGCAGCAGTGGATCAACACTGTAAGTAGTCTATGAAATCAGCTGCACAAGCCATAGTCTGGGAAGCCTACAGAGAAGCTCCACTAGTAGCAGTGGGTGAGGCTTTCAGCCCAATGGGAAGACACATGATAGGTGTGCAAGAGTCAAATCTTCCTGCCAAGATGGAGATGCTCAAGGGCTGAGTTTCTAAGGGAGATGTGAACCCACCTCCCCTCTGGGAGGCCCAGGAGCCTGGCTCTCAGAGGGCTGTACAGAAGCCTCAGGAACACAGCAGCTTATGGTACTTGATGCTGCCAAGGAGATGGCATATCTGGAGCAGAAGCCCTTCTGCTGCTGTCCTTATGCCCTCTGCAAGTACCAGCCTCAAGTCCAACAGCTGCCTCACCTCAGCCTTGCATATCAGCAAATCTAACAAAACATT